CCTCTCAGCCTGCCCGCCGGCCGGTCTGCCTGCCTGCCCTCCCAATTCGATCCCTCTTCTCCGGCAGGGCCGCTGCCACCCCAAGGCGCTGAAGACTCTCCTGTTCTCCAAAACGCTTGGAATAGCTCGAACGCCGAAGAGCGCACCCAGTTTGTCATTACGAACCAAAATCCTCTATTTTTCACGGGCTACAGCGCAGTTTTTGAAGCATTACCTCTTCTTCTAGAATAAGTTTGTAACGAGTACTTGTGCAAAACTTAATAACGGAGTATTAAGTATGCAGTAGACCTACAAAACCTTATCACAACACTCCGCATAAATCTAAAAGCAACAAGCTTATAGAAAGCAGAGGTATCGTAGAAACTAACAAACTTTCTGGGAATATGCCCACCAGTGGTAACTGCGGCAAGTGGGGGAGGGAGGGAGGGAGGCAGGGAGTCTGCACCACTAAGAAACTGCAATGCGTCAAAGTCGCAGTACCGTCTCCAGCCGGGCTCGAGATGGACTTCTATGGTGCCTACTCTCCCCACCACCCCTCGATCGTCACGTCACTCTAAGCATATTTTAATGCTATTTTCCTGCACCAACCCGAAGTAATCCTCTGCTCTCAAAGCAGTGAATAAGATTAGTACGTGGAAGACTGCATCGCCAATTTGAAATTGCATGCAAAAAAGCAACAAAAATGCCTCACGTGAACAGCTTACATCTCAAACTACAGCAGTTTCAGAGCGCATTTTTGTCGATTAAAAACGAAAAGAAGTTAGATAAGAAAAACTACCCGAAGTAACGTATCGATCGTATACGACGAAATCTGATGTGCTGAAGGATCTAAACTATCGGTCGAGGTGTTCATCTCTACTTACTGATAAACTTCACTTTCTTCGGCTGCTTGCTGCGAGGTTTCGTCTTCGCCTTCTTCACAGGCGCAGATCGGCGATGCGCTAGAAATTTACGAAATTGTTATAACCACGTGCAGATCCCATCGCCTACTCAATTTGAAAGTAAAAGCGTCGATTAAAAATTACAACGGATGGCTCAAATTGTAGTCCCAAACCCCTTCACAGATCAAAATTAATCCACGTAAACCGAAAAGTATCGGCATGCCAAGCAATCCCTTACCTGCGGGCGGCAGAGGGGCGCGGCAGGTGTGGCAAAAGCACTGGAGCACAGAATCCTTCACGAGGTTAATCAGCATGTTGGATGCCCTATAGCACTACTAGCTACGACGAATCGCGGTCCACGTTCCAACCTCTACTCCGTGCTTGCCTCAGCCGCGTCTGCCCGACTCGCGCACCGCGCACCCTGGTCACTGTATGACGCGCTGTCTCGCCCTCACTGCACGCCGCCGCCGGCACAAGGAGAAGGGTCGGAGCCGGCGGGTTGGCGCCGCGGCGCCCCTGCCTCCCACCCCGCCGGCGACGGCGCTGCGCCCTCCCCCTGCGCCGCACAATCGATACGCTCAATACTCGGAAGCAGCGTTCGCCATCTTGGTTTCATCATATGGCCCTGGCTCCCACTCCCCCATGTCTCACTGCCACCTCCCCCTCCCCCTCCTCATCCCCATGGAATCTGCTCTGTGCAGACTCGCTTTCTTCACCGCTCCCAACGGGCGATCCTCATCCGGTGGCTTCCACGAGGCGGGGGAGGGTTCAAGCAGGGCGGGGTGGGGCAGTGGCGACCGCCCCCGCCGCCACTGCGCCATTTTCGCGCTCCGCCCACTGAAATATTCAAGCTCATGGCGGAGGGGAGTTGTCCGGGCGTAGCGCAGCGGAGACATCCGCGCCCGCAAGCGAGAGGGCGGGCCGACGCCGGTGAAAAGTAATAACGCGCAACCAGCGTGGAGACGATTCTGGCGAAGGGCGTAGGTCAACGAACTCTCCACTTTCGCACATGCAAAACGGCGACAAACCCACCGCGCCGGGCGCTGACCCCAACTATTACCACATTGACTACACCTGAAAAGTCGCCCAGGCAAGTATAAGTCCCACTCTGTCTCCCCGCAAGGATCACGCCACGGCAACGGTTAACAAAACGATCATGCGACTGTGAAGGCGACGAGATTATGATTACAGCAGCGAAGCATTCAAAACGGTCGTGGAAAACGCAGCAATGGTCGAGAACGAAAACTGTTGCACCCAAACCAATGTCATCTGGCTGAACAATGGCGAAAACAAGTATGCAATTTGGAGATAAATGATATGCTCTAGTAGATTATGCATAAAAGGTAGTGAAAACGCGCATTAATAACATTAAAAGAGAAAGCACAATGCCAGGTACAGCTGTATGGCGACCTATCTAAATACTTACATTAAAAATTCTAAGGTGTGCGAAATTTTCCCAATATCCAAAAAAACGTACTTTAATTTTATAAAAAAGGGAAAAGCCATAAAACCCAATAAACGTTGTAATTTTAACGAACTTTCCAATTAATTCGAAAACAAAAACATTTTATTAATCGAAATATTTATTAAAAACTCAAATTTAATTACGACAAATGCATATCCTCGAGAACGAAAAACACCAAAGTCCAAAAAAGTAAGCCGACAATAAAATACAAACTTCATACATTTGAATTGACAACCCTAATTTCATGACAACCGACACAAAACCGGTTGGGTAGCTTAGAACTAGCAGTACCGTTGTCTTGCAGGACTCCCTAGATCGGGAAGTCCTAGGTTAAGAGTCCCGCCCGTGAGAATTTTTGACACTAGCCGAATAGCTAAATCGAATTCAGCTGCTATGTGTTTTCAGCGTTTCGTTGGTTTGACCGATAGTCTTTCGTAGTTTCTCCAAAAACTACCAAGCGGATTTCGGGACGTGCCCTAACAAACGGGCCACGGACTGTAAGAGATCTTCCCTTCCTCATTATTGTACATTTTCCTCTATTACCCACACAACTCTACCTCTCACGACGGGAGATCAGTCGGTGGCGGTTCCCCGCGGCCGAGATACACCTAGATGGGGAAATCCCCCGCAAGCCAATGTGTAGGTCGGTCTCACCACCGGGTGAGGGGAGGCGCTTCCTCCCAAACATAGTAACGTTACCGGTAATATGAATTTCCTATAGTGATAATGAGTTTTGAAATCTTAAAACGGGGGGGAAGGAGCTAGGTAACAAATACGTACATATTTAATGAATGCACTCCAATTTGACTTTTTGAAGGATAACAATCACTATTTGATGTGAACTAAATTTAAAAAGTAACACTCCCCAATAAAAAACAAACCAAATACGATTCGTTTTTTCTAACCCTGATTTTTCTCCAGCACTGAAAATTGATCTCTTAATAATGGATTATTCATCTCTCCTAGATAATGAAGACAAGTCTCGCTTATCGAATAAAGTTTAGAATTCGTAGGTTTTGAAAATACAGACAGAATTGACACCTAACAAAAATGAGAAATTTCTGACAGTAAATAATTAAAAATATTCCAATGATGCATTAAATTATGACTTCCCAAATCAAGACAAAAAGACAGATTCCGTTTGTAGTGTTTACGTAGTCAAGATGGAAAAAGCGGTCTTACATTACATTACACATTACACACATTAGTCAATTGTGATGCCACGAGGCCTTGGTACCAGTGTATTTGCATCAGCTCATGTTGAGTTCTCCCAGGTCGCTGAGACAGTAGCGATAGTAAGGAAATGATGGTAATGAAACGACACGCTATTCATCCATGACAGAAAAACACTGTATGGATGCGAGGTTGACCTTCATTGTCAGAGGAACACATTTCGAAACTTCCGTCAGAGGTACAATCTAGTGGTACCTACGACACGGCAGTGTTTGTACATGTAGAACATTACTTCATTACCATCATCTAGCATAGTAATATGTCAACTACAGCACTTGCTGTTCCGCTCGCGGTTTTAGATGGTCCAAGGTGATTTTCCCAAACTCGTTCACTAGAGAAGTCTGGCCGCAATTAAGGTATTTTTTTTTACATCTAGGTGGTGGTCTTAAAGTAATGGGTGATCGATGTAATTAGGTTTCACTACGTGATTCATGATGAACTGCAATGGAGGAGAGGTCTTTCTACGACTTATTACAATACAGATTAATATTTACAGATAGCAATCAGGCGAGAGGACAGTTTCCAATATTGTATTATGATGAGTTCAGTGTTGAGAAAAATATGTTTGTGAAATCTGTGAAGAGGAAGGAACATGTTTTCCCCATCCCTGATTCACCCGGAATGCATCAGGAAAATCCTTAGGCGAATGCATATCTGTAATCTCACGAATGGGAACTTTTTAGGGAGCTCCCTGAATCCGACAGGCAGACACGCACATACCTCCTTACACGGTACCTTCGTACGCAGCCCGAGCGGGAAGGTTCAAAGGTGGGAAAGGGCGAGGGGAGGGCCGGGCAACACGCGGCGGGGAGAGCCCCCGAGGGGAGAGGAGAAAAGGGCGAGGCCCCGAGCGCGATGCTGACTCACCGCGGCGCGGCGCGGCGCGGCGCGGCGGCGCCTCGCCCCAGCAGACGGGCACCGGCCCGATCGAACGGCGCCGCTCTGACAGGCGGGGGCGAGGGCAGGGGCGGCGCCGGGGGCGAGGGCAGGGGCGGCGCCGGGGGCGCGGGCGGGGCGTCGCGCGGCGCAGACAGAAATACCAAGCGCGCGTCAAAACATTCGCACAAGTTCGCACGGGAGGCGTGGGCGGCCGCATCGCCCACGACACACCTCAAGGACTGAAATTCAACCGGTGCACATCGTTCTGTACTCTTTGTTTTGATCGCTAGGGAATACGACAGTTTCAAAATTTCGTTTCTGGAATGTATTTCATTCCATTTTGCTGCTAGGATATTTCAGAATATTATTTTGCTATAATTCACTTTAAAACAAATACTGCAGAATTTGTATGCATCGAGTGTGTATTATCCACAAGCATCTATCAGAAATGTGACTGTCGTCATATACCAATGTGGATTTTTAATTAATGTAATGCGATTGTTATGTTAGGTGACGATTTGTTTAGTCCAGAGAGATACTGAGGAAGTTAGTAATACTTCGGTTAAAAATATAACTCCGACTGCGCTAAAAGACATTTCTACCTCACGATTGTCAGCTGGAGCGAGGGCTACTAAAACATTTGCATCGGTGTTATAGAAGAAATATTACAACAAACTACGCTTTTCAACTTCTATGCCTGAGGGGGAAAATTAAGGATATTCACGATTCTACACGACAAAATCTATGTCGTTCTAGAGATGAGGACTCTATTCTTTTATATTATTCGAAATGAAATGGAGAACATATATCCAGTCGTGATGCATGGAAAATATGAGAAATCGAAAGCAAGGGACTTGTAATGCATCTCAAATTGAACTTTGTCTTCCATTGTGTGGGTGACATTATCAATGACACCAAATTGACCCTTTGCGATAAACGTCTATATTGGCAATTATATTGAATATTTTAATAGTTGTTAAATTTTGATATCACATGCCCACCAACACGCGGTATATCCTGAGGAATTCAACGATACGTCGGACGCCGAAGCGCCTTGTCTGTTAATGGAGAAGAGAAATCCTCATTGATGCAAACTATGACATTACCTTGCTTGCAGCGGCAGCCAGTCCCCTAAGAACACATGTTTAGATATACAGCATGCCTCTTCGAAGTAATGAAATTTTCCCGTACCTTTTACATTTTACGAATCATTCTTATTGTTATGTCTGCAAATATGGTATACACCAGTGATGTCGAAGATAACGGCTCAACTGCAGGCTACCAAAGTAAAAATATTGTTTCTTTGCGGTTGTCAATATCGAGCTAATATCGTTATAACATTATTCACCCCATTGCTTTGGATGCCTTAATTCAGTAATTGAATAAATAAATAACTATTTGTCTGTAATTACAATGATTCGTTATTCAGTTTTGCAGTATTCTTCAATTCTATACTTTAAGGAAAATGGAATAAAAAAATACAACCATACGTTCTACAAAGAGTGTCGAAGTTCCATTTTAAATTTAATAAAATCCAGTCGTAGATTTGCCCTTGGAAAAAAAGTGAGAAAGAAACGTAATTTTTCTTCGACGTTAAATGTGATGCTGATAACTATCTTCTACAACAATTTCACTAACGAAAGGAGAAAGGGGTGAAAAAGAAACATACAATGGAACAAAAGGTATTTGCAAACATTCGAAGTTCATTAAAAGGAACCGGTCTTGCAAGAACAGCCAGGACCGAAATTTCAACGAAAGTCACGTAGTTAAGAAAACCGGAAAGGCAGTCGAGTTCAATGACCTGGCCTGGAGCATCTCCTGTTTTGGACACTCACGGACAAAAACGATTTAACGAACTCTTTCGCCACTCCGAACACGGCCGTTTTAAAATAGAGGATTTAGTGAACTCTGAAAATAGAAACTTAAATTTGGGCGAAGGAAAGAAATGTAACTGTGAGCAAGGAATGTTATTTAGATTTACTTCTAGTTCTCCTCAAGTAGTCTACAAAATAAGGCTCTCAAAAAATAATCAAGTCAATGAGGAGTTAAGCAAATAATACTCATTCTACCGATTACAACACTACAAATAAAAACTAAGAATTCCGTCTTAAGTCGTTGACAAAATGTTATTCAATATCACGGACCGAAGGATCGCGGGTTCGAGTCCCGCCTCGGGCACGGTTGTATTGTGTTCGTCCTTTCACACCCCTATCATCATATCGTGTCATCCTCATAGTTACCATACCGTTACACGCAATAGTGGTCGCTATGACCTAGTAGTTGATGCGACCTTATGTAACAAAAAAAAAGGTTATTCAATATTCATTAAATACAATCATGTGTTCTCGGTTCAGACTAACAGATTATTTTGACACATTGAACAAATGCATCGACGAATCGTTCCGCGGACAAGCCACATTCACAACATAATAAAGAGCCAACGCTGTTCGCCATCATGTTTTGTTTTATTCCTATTGTAAATTAATTAAATTATTAGACGGCTGCAGAGTCATTACTAGTTAGGATACAGCTTCATTTTACTACAGGTGTTTGACCAATCACAGAACAATTTATAAACAAAGCTTTGAGATTAAATTAATAATTGGCCATTGGTCTATTCAATTATTCATTCTTTTTAAGTCCATTGTTATGCAGATATAACCTGCGGAAAGGTGTTGGTATATCGCATATGCCCTCAGCTGTTACCCCAAAAACATGAATGTACTGAACTCCAGTGGTACTGCACCACATGTTAAGAATTTGTACATACCAAAACATTTTTAAACAAGATTAATTTAATGCTATCGACAATGCTAAACTTCAGGTTTTTCATTGTTCTTAGAAACAAAATTGTTTCCACCGAGTTGATATAATATTATTATACTCGTGGCGACTCGTGCATTTTACTTAGAGCGGAATGATGTCAACTGACTACACTACTTCAAATGAAACAAAAAATTAGTCAGGGTGGACTTGCGACGAGATAAAAGAGAAACTTTAATTCCTTCGGACTTCCTCTGGCTTGTAACCCATATTGCAGAGGCCCTTTTACACGGCAGTTTTCATGCAGATTCCCGTACAGAAACTTCACATGGAGTATGAAACCCAAAAGTCGTTTTTACACGGTCTACAAGTTTTCTGAAAGGGTTGTCACGAGACGCCACCAGGGGCTCTGTCGGTACACGAATTGCCAAATAGCGCCGACAGAGTACTCTCATTCGCAACATTTGTGTATGTGCGTTCTGAGATACTTTATTAAAACTTATTTTATGTATTTAATGAAACAATGTGAGAAAAGTAGGAAGACCGTCTTCGTTGTTGCTACAAGAATAGTTGTGGTTGCAAAGGCTTTAGTGGGTGCGCAGAGTAAATGCTCCAAATGGAGAATATACTGCCCACAGACTTGAGATACAGTAAAAGCACATTTGCAAGAGTCAATAAAATAAACTCGCCACAAAATCCGAGAACTCCACACATCACGCCAATACACAAAAGTTCAATAAACGCACCTAAGCTAACCATTAAATCGAAAACTATGGACGATTTCCTCAAATAAATTCGTTAATGAACGTTTCTGCCGCTAGAGCCAATATGTACGTTCTCTGCACTACACAAATCAAGCATTCAAAGTTTTAATGCAGAAATCGTGACGTCTGAATTACACGAAAACTGGAGTGTAAAAGGGCCTTAAGGTTACATTGGGCGATTGCTGCTCTATCCTCGCCTGGCCCTTGCCTGCCGGAGTGTGTCACATGACGCTATCATCAGATTGAAAAAGAAGCCAATAGATTGTATTTCAAGGGAGGTGATCCTCCTTTCCTGCTATGTAGCTCCGATAAAAAACCGTTTCGTCTTCTCGCAGAAGGAGCGCTGTACGACACGAGTGATTAACACACGAGAGAAGGAAAGGTTGACAGTTCCACCTCAGTGCGACTTCGACCGATTCCAAACGTTGTCCCTTGGTTTAAAACTCAAAATAAAGGTTTTCAAAGCTGTAAGCTCAAAAATTGTACATTTTACATCGAGCATCAAAGCAAATATTTTATTTGGTAATTAAATCGTAATTAAGAAAGCTACTGTTAACCACCCAACATCATTTCATATAACACTTATACCACAACTACGTTTTTGGATATTGGAATTCAACATCGCCAGCGAAACTGGCCGACTGGTTGCCAAAGTGAAGATCAGGGATGACTAAGAGGCTGCACTTTGTAAAATGGCGGAGATGTGTCTACGGCAAAAGCGGCACAGCTACAAAAAAAATTACATTTCAAAGTTCGCAATGAGGATAATTAACTTTCGGTAACACGGGGGCACCCAAAGAAAATAAGGGACCTGGAGCAGTAGCTCCCCCACCCATCCAGTACATAAAAAAAATTCATCTCTCCACGGGACAGAAAATAACCTATAATTCGAATTAGACGTAAATATACTTTTGTACGATTTGAAAAAAAATGCCAGGTGTCCAACAAATTCTGGACCTGGGGCAAGTTGCCTAGCAGCCCCACCCCTCCTGTTCGCCACTGACGAAACGTACAATACACGCAAAACACCCCAAATTTCAGCCTTAGGTGAAGAACGATCGAGTTATTCTGTACTGTGTTGCAGCGGGTAACAGACTTTTAAATTGTTTCGTTAAGGTAAGGCCAACGGCGTTGCGTGCACGCGAAGGGCCGCCGCCAGGTCCGGCGACGCCAGCGATGGTCGATCAACGAGCCTTGGAGGCGGTGCACGCGACGCCGCCCCCGCCCCCGGCCCAACTCCACCACACATTCACTTCCACGTACCACCCGTAATTCGTTAATGCGACCCCCCCCCCCCAAACAATAACATCGCTTTCCGCCTCAGCGAAGAGCACTGTACACGCACTGGACACAGGCGTTTCATTGGTGAGAAATGCAGATGTGACGCTCAACGGCTTATCTAACACAGACGAATTGAAGCATAGAGGCCGGTGTGGAACTTTTCCCAGTTCCGAAAAATATTTCAAAGTTCACAGGTTACCGAGAATTTTGGATACATTTTTCATTGTTCAACTTTATATCTTAGCTGCAAAATATTCACTTAATATCCTTGGCCACAACATTTTTGTGCGTTTCAACTACTCTTTTCTACATTTTACTCTATTTTCACTGAAAGTCCCCTTTGTCTAACGAATCCTCAATTAATACACTACCACAAAAATGTTTAATAGAGAATGAACATCATATTCAATGACGCTTAAGGTATTTAAAGA